CGGGGCCATGTGTGAATCCCCTAGCTCTAGAGAAGGGCTCGGGTAATTTTCCTACTTCTAAGGGGGGGGGACCCTTCTCCAGATAACTTTGAAGAACTGAGTCGTTCCTGTTGCAATTTCGAGCTTTTCTCGCCGAAAAATTGATCCAATTACAATTTCCAAGATGGAAAGTACTTCACGCACGTACTTGTAAAGTCCCTCACATTTCTTGAGAGGGGCTAGGTAAACTTCTGGGGGGGGGGGTCCTCCGCCCAACCCTCCCCCTGAAGCGCCGTTCATGGGTCCATTGAAGAATACAAAAAAGGAAAATAAACGGAACTAAAAAAAAGTTGCGAAGAATGGTAGGTTTAGGGTAGAAAAAGCGAGCAACCATACAACAGCGTCTTGACAAAATGGGCGCTCTTTATGACGAAGCGCCGCGCCGCGCTTTTTTTTTAAAAAGCAGTTCCCTGAGAAGACCGGAGACCCAGCACGCGCCTTCATTGGTTCGCATTATGCAACACGGACAGCAGCAAAGCACGAATAATTGCATCCAGGCTTACAACTAGCCATCACCGTCGCAAATAATGGATACAAATCTATCAGTCTACTCGCAGACAGCGAACTCTTCTCCTCATTCGCATCTGTTAAACTTAGAATTCATTTTCCCCCAATTTTTTAAAAGCAGCAGACAGAATCTCCGAGAATGCAATCATGCACCTGAACGAAGGTTGATCATCAAACACTCTAGAATCAATAGATTGTTTTCTATTTTTCCTCAAAGTTTCCAACAGAGCCTCCTCAGTCCATGTGATTTAGGAACTTTCTACTCCTTGGAAGCACTCATACAGTAAACAGCGGAAAAATGAGGAATGTATGGAATTGTTGGAGATTTCCTGTGAGTTTCAATAAAAAATAAACCCTGAATCAAACTGTTACTACCCATATGGCATTGACCTCCAGCAGGTGGTTGAAGAGCACATGAATTTCAAGAAGGAAATGGAGATTTTCCACTTTTACGAATTAATCATCACTTCAAATCAAAGATTTTTTGAATAACGTTTTCGACCATTATTAGCTGAGAATGTTGCATTAGACATTACACTCCCCATACCTAAAAAAAAATATGGTTAATTTTTAGAACACAGTAGGGATGCTGACTTTTTTCTGGTTCTTATTTTTAAAATAACTAAATTTTACATGAATAGTCTCAAAAAGAGTTTTCTAATCTATACATTCTAGCAGTCTGTTCACAATTCATTTAGAGTCCAAATTTAGCAGCAAATCCCAATGGCATGCATGCATGTAGGTAAATGAAAGTCTTTAAAAAGAAATATTCAGCTAATTATCTACATAAATCAAGCGCTAGATTTAGCGGCATGGCCTGGTTCAAAATTATTAGCTAAAATCCAGAGCTTATGTGACACCTGAAGGGACTAGAGAGCTTTCATTTAAGTTTCAAACTCACAAAGATTTTTGTAGAAATACCCATGTACTCAATTCTTAAAAGCTTGACTTTCAAGGCATCTCCTATCTAATAAAACACAGCTACTGTTTTCAGAACTGAAGTTGTTGTATCAAGGAATTAGTATAAAATTTATGGGGAACTGAGACCTATTTATAGACTATGCAAGGCATCAACCAGGCTCAAGATGACGAATGAATGTATCTTAAAAGCTCACAACTATGCAGCTAGTGATCCTGCTTTCACAAGCACAGTGAACGCTATTAGCTATCAAGTAACTGTCAATACCCTTATCTTAAAATTAGGAAAAGAAAAATATTACCTGGCAGTTTTACTCCTTGGCCATTCTGAATTAATGAGATCACAACAGTCATTTATCAAGTCCTTACGGGCATGAATAGGAACAACAACCAAATTATCTGTTTCTATCTTTTCTAAATCTGGAACATTTAATTCAACGGAATTCACTTTACCCATTTTTAGGATTAAAACATAATTTTCTATCGAAAGACTTTTAATCCTTCTAGGAATTAAACTGACATGTGTCCATAACAAGTAGGTTATCGGTTATTTTTGACGCAGTACACTCAGAAATAAATAGAAAAAGAAACTGATGGAAAAAAAACCTACAAAACCTCCAAAATACCAAAATAAACACTTTAGTGAAGCTGCCAAGTCTCTTAGTACTTAAAAAATAACATACAGAAATTTGACAATAAAAGACATTTAAGAAATTTTGTTCAATGCATCGGAAAGTTTAGAAATAATAAATTAAATGCCATTAATAAATCATTGAACTTTTACAAAAAATCGCAATTAGATGATAAGCTATGAGATTTGTGTTTGTGTGTTGATAAAAATGTAAACATTGAGCTTCTCCGGCTTCTTCTTCTTCAGTTAATTTTAAGTCATTTGGCGACAAACAGAGAGCGCTAGTAGCGCAGACCGTCGAAGAGCGAAAGTGTTATCAGTAGGCTTCAGCAGATGGCCTCATTTGTTTTGATTTTCTATTTATTTTATTAGATAATTACATTTAATTCAGTGAAAAGTGCCTTAAATCTACATATTTACATCCAACACCACGAAGTGATTATCGTGAAATCTTTACAGTGCCCCATTTCTAGTTGAAAATGGCATCGTATTTACATCCTATTTATAGTTGGATCCAGTCACCATTTTTTTTCTGAAACTCAATTTCTCACAATTTCTACTTTGAGGTCTCAATATTTCCATTTTATTACTCTTCTGTAAACTTCGCTCAGCATGGAAGATATTTTTCACTGGTGCCGGAGTGGAAATGCTTTGCAAGTCAGAGTCTGGCTAGATGACACTGAAAATGATTCGAATCAAGGGTAAGGTGTTTTGACACTTAGTGGATTGTTATGTTTTTAGTTTCCTTCGTGCGTTTGTTAATGTAAATACCTCTGAAATTTGAACAGCTTCTGTTTAATTTTCTTTGTAAACATAACAACCGTGATTGTTTTCTCCTTTGAATTCTGGACATATGGCTCTTGCTTTTGCCTGTTACACCTACACCAACTTTATTAGACACCCATATATGGTCATAAGAATTTAGGTGTGTTCTTGTAATTTTTAGCCGATACCATCAGTTTTACCTCATTTCTCACATGCTTTGCCTCTTACGCGATTTCAGTTGGCCCATGAACTTTGATTTTTGAGTCTTAATAAGTAATGCCACTAATACTTTTCAAGGTACTTGGTGACTTGGCTTCAGTATTATTTTTACCACAACATTGTTTCATCCGGATGAATTGAGCTTTGGACCTTCTCTATACTAAGCCATATGGGCAATGAAAACATTTCATCTCTAAGTCATGCTGAACCGACTTCAAGAACACATTGGATAACCCTGTTTCTCCTCATTGTCAAATGTTATAAAACTGATGTCATTGGATTTCTGAGGAATTTCTGTTTGACACTTCTTACTATTTAAAGCAGCTGTAGCTTGTTGAGATTATTAAGAGATGAAATCACGTTTCCTAGCCAAATGGGATTCTCCTTTCTGAAAGATACTTTTGTAGTTGACTTCTGAAGTTGTTGAATACGTTCTGCTACCTTATCACCCATATGAGGTTATTTGGATATCAAGCATGCACGAGTTCACATTCAGTTTATAAATTTCAAAATTTAAATATGTTTATTTCACTGTGAGTAGGTATGAAAATCACAGCCAACATGATAATATGATTTTGTGAACAAATTAGCCTCTGAAATAAAAGTATAAAAATCTCAGTACCTCCAGTAACATTTTGACTGAAGCATAGTGGAAAACTATCTTGCTCTTGTAAAAGTCAAGGTAATTTCAGTGTAAAATCCTGCCTTAGTTGGCAATACTTGTATGAAATAGTGGCTAAAAATTAAACAAATTGGAAAATCAAATGGTATTCCGAAGCAAGTATCGTCCAAGCTTCCACATTTTCACGCCCCCGCCAGCCGGCTTTCCACATTTCCCACCAGTATAAAAAAATGACGTTTTTTTCTGTTTTCCTATGATGTTTTACTTTTGGTCCCACAAAATGTTCCCCTTTTCCACATTTTTTAAGCTTTTCCACACTTTCACGCGCCCGAGCAGGCATGTGATAGGACATTTTCTGCACCCCTGGAATCTTCATCTTGTATAGAAAGTTGGTCCTTCCAGCACTAACTTGAATTTTTTTCAAACGTTTTAAAAGTCATGCATATCTAGTAGATGCATGTTTGCACTGCAATGGTCTGAACAACATTACCCTTCATCAGGTTAATTTGATATCCAAGTCAATGATTTAAGTGCAAATTCCTCTCACCTGCAAAGTCTATCTGTCATACAATTGAACTTCATTGGAGGCAGTTTCATCCAAGTTCAAAGTTGTCTGTCAAAGTCTGTTTGCTCTAATTTACTCTCTTTCTTCCAGAGATGACCATGGTTTCAGTCCGTTGCATTGGGCTTGCAAAGAGGGTCACCTCAAAATTGCTGAGCTTTTGATACAAAGAGGTGGCCGTGTGAATGCCACCAACCGTGGAGATGACACTCCTCTACATCTTGCTGCTGCTCATGGGCATGAAGATATCGTGCTCTTGGTATGTCTTCTTTCCTCTATTTTGTACAAGTACTCTCAAAGCCAGTCTTAAAAATTTAAAATAAAAGATGAGATTAAAGATAAAGTTTACAAGTGGCAGTGCTGTTAGATCCTTTGTTGTTTGTAATGGCTGGAGGCATGGTAGTCGTGCATCAATTCCAAGAAATAATCTTATACTTTACCCTCAATGGCATAGTGTTACTCATTTTTAACATCTCATTCTTTTGGTTTTTTTTTTAAAAATAGAACTATCTCTCTACAGCATGATGATGCAAATTGTCATCGATGCTTCCTTTCTTAAAAAGACTATTACTGAAATTTTGAGGGAAAAATAGGGATTCCATGTTTTTATGAAAACTGCAGCATGGATTTGGGTCCCTCGGATTCCCAGACACAAAATTAATTCACGTCATAGAAGGTTTAAAAAGTAAACTCTGGTTCTACGAGCTCAATTTAGATGATTATAGTTATTACATCACTAGGTCTTCAGCTCCCATGCTGAATATGGAAATCAGTTTTGCCCCTTGCTCAATGCTGAATACCTAGATGCAAGTTATACTATCCTCTTGTTGGTTTTTTTGTAAGTAATCTATTGCAAATTTAAAATAATATTGAAAAAAGATGATTTACAATTTGACCGTTAGATTTTCTCATTTTGAACAATATAACCGCAATCAGACAGCTTCTAATACCTGTGCAGTTTTATAACCGCTCATTATTTAAAACGTCAAAGCTTTCTTCAGTGGTATCAGGAACTGTCCCTTTAATAAAAATTAATCAATTGCAGATAAACTGTCTTCGTACACCTGAATCCGATTTCCCTCCTAATTTCAAAGAAGTCTGTCTGAAAGGAAAATTTTCACTTGAGCAATATGGAGTTGAAAACCAGCTCTAAGTATCTATTGGCCTGTCAAGAGGAACTTTTATGTAAATGCTCTCGAAAATCTTTTTCAGCTTTCATTAATCTCTTTGTTTAATTTGTCTAGCTTTTACGCAACAGAGCGGACATCAATTTCACAAATGAACATGGAAACACTGCCCTTCATTACGCATGCTTTTGGAATTACGAAAGATTAGCAGAGGAGCTCATAACTCACGGAGCTCTTATTTCTTTGGCGAATAAAGATGGAGATACACCACTAGACAAAACCAGAGGTCCATTGGCGAAGCATTTGCATGGTGAGTCTGTTTGAAGTTTCATACCTTAAGTCGTTCCAAAAATGACATTTTTGCGCAGTTAATCGATATCACTAATTTTTAGAAAATCCAAGGATATACCCTGATACTGATTACTTTATTGACTTTCAAGAAAATCGCAGGAACCATTTATTGCTGTTGCTCAAGTATCTTAAATATAGCTAGAACCAAAAAACAATTTCAAAATAAGTTGTGTAATCTGTTGAATTTTCCACCATCATCAACAAAGTTGCCAGCAGTCTGGAAAACGGAGAAACTCGGAGAATTTTTCGACGATCAGGAAATACCTGGTAAAGTCAGGAATTCATACAAAAAGTGGAGGAATGAAATTTCTTTAGCTTTTAGCAAAAGTGAGTGTAATTTAAAAGGAAAAAAATCAAAGTGGAAGTTTTATTCAAATGTCAGGGAAGGTCAGGGAATTCGAAACTTTTCGAGTCAGAAAAAAGCAAGAATAGTCAGGGAATTTCAGGAAATTTGAAAATGAAGAAACTATGGCAACCCTGCATCAGCCAATTGGAGCTTTCAAAGTTCAGATACAATATTTCTTTTCTTTTTATACTCACTAACTTTAGATTACTAAAAATTTGTTAGGTATTTCGAGTTTCTGTCTCTAATTTTTCTTTTACCACAATTTCTTTGCAGATCTAGCTGTTGAACTTGGTCAAGACACAAAAAAGATAAACTTCAAAGATCAGAGTTGGTTAGGATTGAAAACGAGGAGCCGTAAGTATCCATGCATTATTTATTGCATTCTCACCCTGACTTTGCGTTCGGTTTTTCAAGTTTTAAAAAGAATCAATTTTTAAAAAGATGTATTGCAATTGTATATTACTTTTCTCTCTCTTTTATTTCTCAATTAATTCAAATTGTTACATAATACTATCAGATATTATTATTAATATTCTTTTTTATTTTTCTTTAACACACCAGTATTATAACTGGTCTCTGGCATTTTAATTTACATCGTTTGACTGTATTAGAACAAGACAACTGAAAAATTAAGTCAATAAAATCAAAGACTAAAATTTCTCAATGTAATATAATGAATTCATGAGATGATCATGGATGCATGGAAAGATCAAAATAAGACAGGAGTAGTTAATTCAATAGACAGAATTGCTCTTCCTGAGCATCTTATTTTTTTCTTTATTCTCAGTGGTTCAGTGTAAGTTTGTTGCGTTTGCAGGGGATGCTTCCTTATCAAGACACAAAGGTATTAGTTTATATGAGTTGTCACTGCACACAAAGTTGGCAATTACGCACAGCGGAGAAACATGGAGGGGTCGTTGGCAAAAGAACGACATCGTTGCAAAAATACTAGCTGTACGCAACTGCACCTCCAGGCTTGTGAGAGATTTCAATGACGAATTTCCTAAATTGAGGTAAGGGACTTTTTTCTACATCCTTTATTTGAATTTTTCCTTTCTGTGTTTTCTTTTCTCTTCCTCCATTTGAGAAGAGAGCTTGAGGCATTCCTCAAAATCATTTTCCCTTTCACGTGTCCCGGGCTTATTTTTTAAAGCTTTCTTAGCTCCATTTTTCCAATGGTTTAAATCTCAATACTTCACTTGTCAGTCGGAGTATGAGAAGTTTTTTCGAGAAAGTGCCTCTCAATTTTGTAGCATTTTGTGCAAAGAAAAATTTTAAAATCAAAACAGAAGTTCATAACACATCAGTTATTAGAGCACAATATTAGTCAATTGTCATCAGGTTCTCAATATTATTCAATTTACTTCAGGATATTCTCGCACCCGAACATCTTGCCAGTCATTGGTTGCTGTACTGCTCCACCGCGTTTGGTGGTTATCAGTCAAGATATGCCAAATGGATCGCTCTATTCACTGCTGCACAAGGGTGGAGGAGTTGTTGTTGATTCGGCTCAAGCTTTGAGATTTGCTGTTGACGTAGCCAGAGGAATGGCTTACTTGCATAGTTTGGACCGCATTGTTCCCCAGTACCAGTTGAACAGCAGACATGTCATGGTAAATATTTTTAATAATTTGATTTGTGATAATGACCTTTTCGGAAACGTTTTGTAAGTAAAGAAATGTTGATTCTACTAAGCAAAATATTTATAATTTCCATTATTTTGTTTCGTAGTGTACAATGAAGTGTTATTGTATCATCTACCAATGACTCAAAGTGCATAATTTGCTACTCTGAGCCTAAAACGAGCTTTAGAAAGAACTTGAGAAATTTTTACCAAAACGTGTGAGAGCTACTGCCCTTTTATCTCAAGTGTGCAGGAAGTTCCTCATATTCACATTTTTTAAATTGGCCCTCTGATTTTCAAAGCCTCTTTCCTCTCAAAATTTTCAAAGTGAGGACCTTTTTTTTTAAATTTTTATTAGTTTGCCCAGTTAGTTCTTCCCAATTGCCTTGATTTTGCAGAAATCTTACGATTTTCTTCGTAACACTAATTGCCTATTTCATTCTTCACGCGACAACCATCGTGTGGTGAGAAAGTTTCTCCTGCATTTTACTCTGTTGGCTTATGTTCTTTATCAAAATGTCACTTTCATCTCCATGACATCAAGATGTGATCTTGGCAAAGCTCCTAACATTCAAATGTAGGCTTCAGGGTTGGCCCTTCAGACCTCAGAAAGCTTCACCTTAAAACTAAATCAAGCAATATTCTTTTCTGTTTTTTTTTTTTTTTTTTTTTTTTTTTTTTTTTTTTTTTTGTAATCAGTGTGAAATATTTATTCTACTAGCTGATGTCCTGATATTGAATTTTCAGATTGACGAAGATCTGACTGCCAGGATTAACATGGCTGATGCTAAGTTTTCTTTCCAAGAAAGATCGCGGGTATACTATCCGGCTTGGATGTCACCTGAAGGTAAAGTTTGTAGCAGTCACTAAACTTTAATATTGCTCAGAATTTTCGCTTCTTTTAATTCTTAGTATCGTACCATCCTTAATCCAAAAGAATCCACAGCAGTCTGCTAACTGCACTAAAAAAAGTCAAGGGGTGGTTGCCACTCACAACGGCAACGAGCAAAATTGTAATCGTCTCTTTTTTAAAACTAAATTGGTTCCTATTTTACAAAATTATCATTAAATAAGTCAAACATGATTTTATACTCTTGTCCATGTTCTTGTTAAATGTCAGAATAATTTTTTGTGGGTTTTCTCTAAATTTCTGCAAACGTCTCCTTTGTCTCATTGATTTTAACCTATGATTTGTTTGATGTTTTTGAAAGAGTTTTCAATTCAGAATTTTTTCATTTTACAGCTTTGCAGAAGAAGCCCAGTGAAAGAAACTTAGAGGCTAGTGACATGTGGAGTTTTGCTATCCTCCTGTGGGAGCTGTCAACAAGAGAAGTACCTTTTGCGGACCTCTCACCAATGGAAATTGGCATGAAGGTGGGTGTTATGTCAATTTTTTTCTAGAATTCTGTACTTTCTTTGACCTAGAGGAAAGCAATATTAGAATGGCAACATCAAGGGTTCTTTGTAGTACCTTGTAAATGTATTATAGTAAAATATCACCATATATGATACAATTAGAGGAAAGCAATAGTACGTATTATTCCATCAATTGGAAAAAAAAAACAGAAAAGAGGAAGAAAAAAATGGTATCGGAAGTATTTGCACCAAGATTGCAATGCTGTAGCACAACAGTTTTACTTGCTGTTTGAGGCATAAGACCTGACCGATTTTTGCTATTTTTTGAAACTGAAAGGGTTCTTTATAGCACTCCTAAAATACATTACCGTAAAGAATCACTGCGCATGACATGACAGGTTACGAATACATTGAATGAATGTTTACTGGTTTTGTGTAGTTGACCATTTTGTCGGAGTCTAAACAATGGATGGATTAAGACAAATAGAGACATTAAATCTGGACTTTTCTGATTCTCAAAGCTGCAGCACAATTGAGTGTCACCCAGCAAATACTGTATCTAATTATTTTCTTCAGGGAATTACAAACGTTAGCCTTCTTTGGTGAGCATATGGTGCGTTGCCTTGAAATTATTCATGTAGATTTCATCTACCTCATAATGTCGTTTCATAGAAGAAAATTCTTTTACTCAAGAAATTATTAATTATGTGTAATATATTTTTCTTTCAGGTTGCACTGGAGGGTCTGAGAATCACAATTCCGCCTGGCATCTCTCCTCACCTATCCAAATTGATTCGTATTTGCATGAATGAAGATGCTGGTAAAAGGCCAACATTCGATCAGGTGCTTCCAATTTTAGATAAAATGAAACGATAAAATCCTAGTCACTCTGCTACAGAAACTGCGCACTATCATCCTTTAATACTCAAACTTGTTAAGTTAACTCTGTATTATTGTCTACTAAGTCTCACCCTTGTATTTGATGGAACAAAAAAAGTTTTACGATACAATGAATTAGAACCATGAATATTTGAGCATCGCAAGGATCTTGAGTCATCCATTTTCTTGAGTTCTGTTCAGTGCATGAATTTACACATTACCATGTATTTTTTGCATAATTGAAGTATTAAGTAGTTAGAAGAATTTTTTACTAATAATGTAGCTTTCCATGAAAGTTATAAGTAAAAGTTGTGACTCATTCGTTTAGCCATTCTAAGCAGTTGACATGGCTACAATTTTTTGTGAGTTCACATTTTACAGCCTATATGAATTCGTCCATTTGAGTGTAAACTGCTCTGTTGATCACCCTAGTTCATGACTTCAAACCGTGACGTACCCATCTGTGTAAGGTCTCTTCCATAAACAGTACAAACTATTTTGATAGTCTGAGCTACATGAAATGAGTGAAAAACTAATCACAAGTATGTAAAATGTCCTGATCTTTCACTGTTAAAATATTTCACCACACCATTTTCATCGAGCAATGGTGCGATAAGTGGCTTCCATAATTTTGTGTTTGCAATCTGTAATTGAAGTATGTTTTACTAAATTTAGATTAATTATTTTATTTATTAACTATTTGCACAAAAACTTATTTAACGTGTATGTAGTTTCTCTTTGTAATGAGCTGTTATTTCACAAGGCCTTGAACTGTGCACAATTAGTGAGCTTGTAGCCGTAGCTTCAGACAGAAATCGTTTATAGTTATTGATAGCAGAGGCTTATGTAATTCTCGTTTTTGCACCAAAAATAGTAGGACAATTTTATGTTTTATGTTCCATTTCAAAGTGCCAAATTTTTGAGTGGTACTGCATGATGGCTTTCTACAAAAATCCTGAAAGTGACTCATTTTCTAGAATGCTACATTTTACATCTTAATTCATTCATAAAAGGGAAGTTAGCTGACTATATTCTCCTAAATTTTACACTCAGCATGAAGCTTGAGAAATTAGAAGCTATATTTTTCACTGATTTCCTATGTTGAAGTCAGATTTTATCAGACTGTCTCAGGGATTTTCGGAGACATTATCTTTGTGCAAGATTTAATGTTAACCTATCTAACTACACGTGTAGTTATCAAGCATTGCTTTATATAGGTCAAGTCATTCATATGTAGCTCAGGAGCATAAAAGTGATAGCAATGGGTGGTCACTTAAAAGTAGGCTAGCTCTGCCATGCTAAAAAAAAAAAAAAAATCCATGCCCAATTTCCTCTGATAAAATAGATCTCTAGAAAAGTAGCGTTTTCATGAGAATTTAATCTAGTGCGAGTTAAAATTTAAAGGTGAAATCCTTGTAAATTGTCCAAGAAATAACTATTTCATCAAGGGATTTTAGGCAACATTGGAATGTTCATGCAGCGTTCTTCCTTAACACAGCAGAGCTGAAGGCAGCTACAAAATGATAGTTTAGACTGGGTGACATGCCTTAGTAAGTCCTAAATATTCTGATAATAATAAGTCTTGGTGATTCAGCAAGACCAAGAGGTGGTATGTTCTGAAAATTAAAGTATAAAAACCTCTTATTACTCTCAATCAAGATTCTTTATTGCTACAAATTTTGGAATCTAAATTTAGGTCTATCATATGTCTATAATAGATCAATTATATAGTCTAGATCTATCATATTTACTATTTAGACTCTTAGTTTAATCAAAAAGATAATGGTACTTTTTCCTGGTGGAAGAATAAGTAATCTTCAGTACTACAAGAAAGTCAGTCATCAAATCGTCACCTTCCAGGCAAAGTATCACAAGCGCCATGCGACGTTTAAAAATTTCCGCCGCCTTTTTATTTTTTTACAGAGAAATTGTTCAACGAAGCTGTCCGAAAATTTCACTGAATTTTCTTTGTGCTGCCGATTTAGTGAAATTTCCAAACAGATTCAACCAACAATTTCTCAGTAAAAAAATAAAATGGCGGCGGAAATTTTTAAACGTCGCATGGCGCTTGTGATACTTTGCCTGGAAGGTGACGAAATTAGTAGTCTCTATATACATAGCTGCTGAAGTGAAATGCTCGTTGTTAGCGTATTTTTACAATTCTATATTTTTACATGCTTTTTGTTGTCAAGAAAAGAAAGCTTTTGCGATTTTTCTGTTTACATTGAGTCACAATGAAGTGGATAACTGGGTCTCTCCTGATTCAGAAAAGCCACTGTTTTTCAATAGAAAGAGGTTGATGCCCTTGTTATTAGTGTTTGCCTTCATGTGTGCCTTTCTTTGTTTCTGTCGTTTTATATTATGTTCTCTAAACTGTTAGTGTAATTTCCTTTACAGAATCCTATATATAAATGATCCCAATCTGGGTCATTGATTTTACTATTCAAGCTGACATCTCCTCTTTTTTTATACTAAAATAATCGTTCGATTTACTATTTTTATTAAAATTTAAAGGTTTCCCCAATCTTAAATGAAGCGTAGATCTTTATTTTTTTGTGCACAGATACCAAAGTTCATTCTTGTAATGTTACGAATTTAATTGTACAGAATGAAGCAACTAGTCACTCAAAATTTAATAAAGATCTGCACTCTAATTTGCTTGCAGATCTTAAATCCGAAACAAGGAAACTTACTTTTTCCGTCGTAAAGTTTCATCAATTAAGTATTAGTTTGTTTGTGTAGAATCTCGAAAAATCCAACTTAAAGTTTCATTGAAATGAATATTGCCCTGTCAATTTTACCAAGAAATTCCCTATAATGTTGAGATCAAAAACTTTCGCAGCCACATGCTTTCAAAATGTGGAGGTAAATCTTCTAATGTACTTGAATCAAGTCAGTATTATTATTTACAAGTACTTATTCTAATGTATCGTTTTTTAAATTTTATTTTAATGACTTCTATTTATTTAGTTTTGTTATTTTTTAATCTTTTAAACTCTTACTATTTTTACTTAATCAAATTTCTCATCACTCAACAAATTTTTAGACATTGTCAGGGAAAAGAGGTAATAATCAATTAATTCTACTAACTTGAACTGATTAATTTAAATTTACACTCTCACATCTTGTAATTTTTTAGATATTTAATGATTTGAAATCTTGTGGATGAGTTGATCAAAGTTACTATGTTTGTGTGTTGTTTTCAAAATCTTACAAAGATGGATATTTTAATCCTTTCTTCCGACTGGATAAGATAATTTTTCGTTTGAAATCAAAAGAAAGCTATCAGCTCCGAGAGCCTTCAATCAACTTTTGTTCTGTTAGTCAATAATTAATTATTTTGCCAATCCCTTTGAAAGTAAATTGTCAGTAGAGCCAAAAGAAAGCATCAACTGGCGCTTTTCTCCTTTTTTCTTGATGATTTCCTTTTTTTTTTATTTGTGCCATTTCTCTTTTAATTAAGAATATCTTTATCAATGTAGGCATAATTTTAAAAAAACAAAAGTGGCCTCTACAGAATTTGTGCCTAACCTCTAATGTACCTACTTTCTCTGTGAAGAAAATTGTACTTATTAAGTGCACTTAATAATTATTATTAATTCTCTTCCCTTTTTTTTCTAAAATTGTTTATTTTATTACTCAGTCTCTTTCTCCAAAATGATTATAATGTATGCACCTCATTGGCTGCAATAAAATTGGAAAAAAAAAGTCTTGTCTGGTTGTGTATTACTATAATCCTCCTTCATACTTTAAGGTTAATCTTCAGCTGTAGTTCTGTATCAATTCGAGCAGTTAGTTTGGCAATTAAGCTGGTGTGAGGTTAACTTGTTGGACACACTGCATCACCCAACGCTCATTAGCTGAAACAAGAAGGTACTCAAAAGCTGACAAAGTGGAGACGTCAGTAATTGTTTCGTTGATTTGACAAGTTGGCAACTTGTGTCACAGGTTCAAGCTGCTGGTTTGATCTTATTTTCTACCCGTGAATACCTACCAAAAACAAATAAATTACCCTAAACTTTGAAATTTTCGTTTTTGAATTTAAAGATGCAGGTATTGGGACAAAGTATGCAAGATGTTAAGATAAGAGAACACCCATAAGTATCTGAAATATTATCTAAAGGACTTCAAAGTTCACCACTTTAAGTTTACTTTAAGTACTACAAGTCTACTTAACGTTTACTCAAAAATGTTAAATTTTGGCCAGTAGTAGACATTTGAAAAAGTTCTAGTCCTTGAATACTCAAAATGAAAAGTAGCTGTTGATTGCTCAAATTTTAGTAAATCAAATTGCTTTGCAGTGTCAAAAAGTACTATTGGAGTAATAAAAAATTCGGCACCAGCTACATATCGATGTTTCCATATGATGTTACTCAAATAAAGAGTAGATAATTTTTTTTAAAATTTTAATACACATTCAGTAGAAAAATTGTTGCAATGTCTGAATTATAATCAAGGAAATCTTTAGTTTTCATGCAGACCGGGGATATAAGACAGACAAACATAATTAAATTCTTCCAAACGATAAGAGCGTTCCTCACCACGCATACATGGCTTCCCATGTCTCCATTAAAAAGATGCCTCTAAGAGGGTGGAATAAGTCGGTTTTCAACCTTGCTGTTCCAGAAATAGGCACATATAAAGTTTGATTTTAAAAGATCATTTTGTTCAGGAAGTCATATAATAAGGAACATCATATCAATCAATATTAAAATTTAATCAGGGTCGAATTTCTTGTTGTTGTTCTGTGGGCTGTCCTATGGGTCATGTTTCATGTTCAGTAGAGGTAACTCTTGAGTACTGCTGAGTGAAAATTATTCACTGAGGTGAAAACAAGGGGAACGAGAAAGTAAGAATGGTCACAAACATTTTTGCAAATGTACAATTAAACAACAATTAAATACAGGAAAACCTGAAAAAATAATAAAAAAAAGAAAAGTGGCCTTTCTGCCTTACACTCTTCTTTCTAGTGGTTCCCAATATTGAATTGTCTTTTAATTGCCTTTTTATTGCTTGACGAAGTTGTTTTACATTGGAGAAAAATGTTCATGAGAAATTTCAAATGTTAAGAGGTACCAAAATATGTATGGAGATTGACTGCATCAACAAATTTAAGAGGATAATCTTAAACTTGGGTTTTTTATATTATTTTTATCTTAATTTAGTCAAAAGAAAACTTAAAAAAAAACTAGATGAAATAATTGAAATGGAATTTTAGAATTTAACACAAAAAGTGCTTAGATTAAAACTTAATCTTAATATATACAGCTTGAGAACATTAAGAGGTGAATTTTGCATTCTTCATTCAGTCCAGCGATGCGTGCAATGCTGATTGGTACAGACATAGTAAAGCCTCATTTCCTCCTGTAAGTCACAAAATTCAAAATTTCAGATTAATTACAGATTTACAACAGAGAGATAATATTATCCGAAAAGTTTTTTTAAATGATAGAGCATTAAATTAGCACTGTGATAGCCCTAGGATTTCCTGCTATGAGTGATTGCAATCACAGTTGGAAAAAATATCATCTCTTCAACAATTTTGCCATGAACAAAAATATTTACTCCGGGGACCCTGCCACGTGAGCAATGCAGAACTGGCTTCTCTTTGTTTTTCTCGTTATTTTGTGACATTATATATCGACAATGAAACTCCCAAAAGACATAATTTCATGAGCAACATTGCAGACTTCCCATCATACTTCATCTTTTCAATGGAAAACTACTCAATGGCATTCTTAAAAACTACCGTGATTTTTCTTATGCGTGTGAGTAAAATCCTGTTAAAGCTTTAAAGAATGATGTTAATTTGCACGCCTTTAAAGAAATAAAATAGGAGGGAAGATTTTCACTGCAAATGAGATGCTTGGTTTGGGAGTTCCACCGTCAATATTTTACAAATCAACTTTAGGATAAAAGAGAGAGAGAAGACAGCATTATGAGACAGTGGGTTGTCTACATTCTGCCGCGAGTCCTCAATATAAAAGTTTATGACAACCTAGATTCACAAATAGCCTCCTTTTGTTGAACACTATCTGATTGAGTATTTGACATGAGTCAAATGGCTGCCTTGTTTGCCTCAACTCTCCAAAGCAAATATCAGGCTTACCTCAGCTCTTCTGGTCTGGGCTTGGAAAAATACGGCTTCTCTATGGTTACATTTTGGGCATGGGTGATCTTCAGTGCGAGGTAGAGTGGGGTCCGAGATGACATCTGATACAATATGTGTTAATTCACTGGAAAAAAAAAAAAATATTAAGTTATTGAATGATGAACTACATGATATCATCAACTTCAAAGGAAATAAATACACCAAAAAAAATGAAAAAACCAAAGAACCTTGAAACCATGAGATGTTCGTACTTAGGTGAAATAAAAAAATAAAAAAAAATAAAAAAAAAAACAAGTCACCATTGATTTTTGGACCACCATTCGTGCGGACACTTCATTCTGACACATATCACTCAAATTTAATTTTTAGGGCAACTTTCTAGGATTTTTGAACATTTCTCATGAATATATGAGTTATTACCATAAATACACAAATCTAAACTGGTGCACTAAAATGCAAATAGAAAGAGTTGGGCCATTGCACGGACTTTTCGCAGGGTTGAAGTATAGTTCTCCATGTGTAAAATTTCGTGAAAAAACAAAAAAGTTCATTAAAAAGTTACAAAATCATTTCTGAGGGGAGAAATAACAAATCAACATCTGACTAATCGAAAACCGACAGTCAAGTTGACGTAGTAAGGTGATACCGGAAGCTGAGTTCAGCCAATCACCAAACGTCATCTACCCTGGTTGGCTACAACATCAGAGCATGCCAAAAATATTGTTTAAAGCAGGAAATGGGTCCCATTTTTGGTATTTCCAATCAAGATTTTTTGCCACTAAGGATAAAAAAAATTGGAAAATTCCTAGAGGCTTGTGCACTTATTACTTTTAGAAAATGAATTGAGAAAAATAGGTGCCACCAACCCAATAGAGCATCTACCTGTGAGGCTATTTCATATGATCTACTTACTTGTACCAGCTTTTTAATTTCACCGATTGTCTGATACAAAATACACCTAAAAAATCAAGTTTTGCCTTTTGAGAAAAAGGGTGCATGCTAAATGTGGCGACTACGGAATTGGTTCAGTCTTTGTTTCTGTTGCATCTTTGCTGCTCGTAAATTTTCTGATTGAATTATCAAAATATTATACAGCTTTAAAATTAGGTTTGCTGGCCAAAAAACTTCCAGAATTTTGAAGTGATGAACTGATAATGATCAAAAATTTCTGAGAGATATAGAATACGCACAGCACTACCGAGGGAGAATGTCTTAAAGTAACAAAAACTTATTTCTTAGACTTACTCTATTTCGTGCATAATCTTATTTACATAGATACAGTTGCTATCTGCCAGTTGTCTGTAGTCACAATTCCGACACTGAGGACAAAAACAGAAAATGGGTAATCAAATAATTTAGAAATAGATTAGTTTCAGATCTTGAAAAAAAATAATTCAAAAATTTGTTGAAAAACTTTTTTCTTTTAAACAAATTCTCATTTAACATTTAGCACCTGAGAATTCCAGCTTGGTTGATCCTTAAGTTAAATATATTGGATACACTCTGAATACGACAGTTATTTTGATTCTTCTTACAAAAGAGTTTCAAATATTTGAATAAAGATGCCTTATTCTCTGCAAAAAATTACTTGAAACAAAACTTGCTTCGTTTTACTAATATTGAGTGATTTTGCAAATTTTTAGCAGATTTCTTTTGCCTTTACCTATCTATCGCAATTATCTTTACCTTCACTTATTTTAAGGCAGACTTCTTATTAAAAAGTTGGTAAAATAGTGCTGGGTACACACTATTTTGCCGGGAAAGTAGTGTAGACCCGCCTATTTTTCCACCTTGTTCCATAAAGTTCGGGCCATGTATCTAGATAGGTTTTTTTTTTCTTGTCTGCATAATAAGTATAGTAAATTACAAACTGTAAACCATTTTATTTGTGAAATGTTTACTGCCATGGGGCAGCTTCATGAACAAGTCTCTCCACAAAGAGAAGGTAATTTAAGCAAATTCATAATTTTAAAGTTAGCGAGGAGATAAAAAGCCCCAAGTCTTTGTTTTTTGACAGCTTTCAAATTGTTTTGAACAATCCAATTATAAATGGGCATTTACATGTTATGCAATTTCTGCACTTCTGGGATAAAATGAAAAAAAAAAAAAAAAAAAAAAAAAAAAAAAAAAAAAAAACATCAATATTAAAGACTTTGGGGGAAAATTGAGTACTTACGGCGTACAGTAAAACTTTGTTCTCTTTATCCTCTTTTGGATACAACATGTTGTTGCTGAAAAAAAAAAGAATATGAGAAATGGAAAACAAATCACCTTTAAATTTGCACATTAGTAATTTTTAGGAATGATGCTAAAGATACAAAAAAAAACAAAGATACTTAAGCCCGAGGGAGGTTGAATGTGGGAGAGCTTGAATGAGAAAGCAGAAAATAACATTAAAAAGAAACTGAATAATTATTTAGGGGACCGGAGAGTTCAGGGGTGCAGAATCTTTCAAGTTTTCACATTTATCTCATCAGTTTTCTACAATATTTCCCACCGATCGAAATCCCATCGAAAAAAGATGACGTTTTCCTTCGATTTTTGACTTTTCGCCCCTCAAAGTGTTCCCTCCTTCCACATTTTTGAGGCTTTTCCACATTGTCTTGGGCCCGGATGGGCGCATGATCAGGTATTTTCTGCACCGCTGGGAGAGTTTAATACTTGGGATTCTGAAGAGTACACTTGAAAGAAATAAAGTTGAATTTAGAATAAATTATGCAAGAAGAACTAAAGTTGCATTGCACGTTTAAGTACCAATGCACGTCAAAGAGATGGGATCGGACCTAGTAGAGTAACAGGTTGCACTCAAATTTACAAGGCTCGTCATATTCTTAATCACGCTTTGAAGTGAAAAATTCTCATTGATGTACTGTTTTTAATTGTCTCTAATCTTGTTGATCAAGTCATAATCATTAACATGCTAATTAGAGGGATTAGAGACTATGAACGGATTTTGAACTGAGTTTGAGATCGGTACAGAAAAGTGAATTGAATATGCTGGAGTTAACTAAGGGAAGAAAAGATGAGAAACTTTGGAAAAAATTAGATTTGAAGGGAAAAGGGAAAGGGGAAATGGGAAGGTGTTGACATTAATCTATGGACAATTTCATTATATATAGTTGTGATAGGTAAAACTATGAACACCAAATATTCAGTGCTTGCACAATATGGGAGGATTTGAAGTTATATCCGGACAAAATAAGTTTGCGCACGATAAGAGTGCAACGGACAATCCGCTATCTTGATTCTTGTGCTTACTCCAATCCTAATCTGGAGACAGCTGATCTTCTGTCGTTCTCTCGAGGTGCGTAAAATTAGATGGCGGGGACGACTCTAGCTGGCAATAGTTGAGTCCTTCTCTGCCACTCAAACCAGATGTCAAGATTAATTTATGACATAACACAAAGTAAAAGACTCCGTGTTCTGCCACAGAATTTAGTCAAGTCAAAACAGCAGAGAGAAATTCTGCCAGATCCTGATGCCGCAGATCATTTTCACAATAGGTAAGTATACCCCCACTGCGAAATACACCATTCTTTGAAACAACAGGCTCGTTTTTACAAGACTCCATACAATATGGAAAAAGAAAACATAGGAAAATTTTCTCCTAAAATATTTATGTAAGATGGGGATCTTACCATTCTTGACAAAAACGTATCCCCACAAAACCTTGGTCGCCCATCGTCGAAAGAAATCACTGATTGGAAAAAGGTGAGAGAATGTGAAATGGAAAAATTGGTGGGATAATCTTCACATAAACATAAAGAAAAATATGATAGACTCTTAGAATTTTGAATAACTTTCGATAAATTTTCAGATAACTGTTAGGATTTCAGCAAGAGGCTTTCCAAATTTCCGGTTGGTAAAGTCGAAAGTAAAAGTAAACAAACTTTTTGGAGGTTATAAAAATGCACTGTTGCCGACTACTTAAAAATTTTTAGAAGTATCAGATCAGAAGATCAGAAGTATGGCAACAAAAGAAAATAAAGAAGGTTAGGTTATGTTTTTATTTGGTTTTTGAAATATATGGAATTCTAAAAGCCACCGGAAAGTTCGTAGACTCTCTGTTGTCTCTTCAGTTTTTATCAAGTTTTTATCCCGTATTTTCGTGGCGATAATTTCCTGAATATCGAAAGTAGAAGAACACATTCAAGCCAACAGAAATTATCTGAAATTCAACCAATTCGGTATGCAAGTTACGACCAATTTTTCAAAAAATAAATTCTCCTTCTCCCTATTCGCAAAAAGCATGATTTACTTCTAATGTCAGTTTCTCATTACTTTGTCACTGATTGTACCATCCTCTGAAATCATTGCAACATTGCAACTGCCCTTTGCGATTGAGGCACTGGATGCAAAAAGGGCACCTCTCGATTGCGTTGTTTCAGAATCTCTGTTGCTAATTAATTCTTTGGAGGAAAATTTAATGGGTGATTTTGCCAGAATTCTTTCCACAGAAAATTGTAGAATCATTAGGAATATTCAGTAAAATTTTTAGTGAAATGGATGCATTCACTTTCCGTGCAATGAATGAAATATTAGAGGAGACTCTGAAACAGTGCAACCGAGAAGCGCCCTTATTGCATCCAGTGCCTCAATTGAGGAAGTTCTATCATGAGACTGAGAGGTTATTCCCATAGAGTACAAGAGGACGTATTTCTACCAAACAGACCTATGTGGAGATGAGAAATATGGGGTGTGCTCGTCGAAGATGCATAAGAAGCAATGTGAAAGTGGACGTGATTCCTTTTGTAGAATTGAAAAAGCGGGATATTACATTCTATCAAAGAGACCTATGTGCCAACTGAATGCGGGAGTCATGAGCCGCGGGCATGGCAAGAGAGCCTTGTGCACAGGGCTCATGAGTTGAGGGCTCACTCTAGCGATCTCCCCGTCGTGCCGGCGCTCGTTCGTTGTCGCTGACGTCACTGACGCTTTATTATTATCATTCACTCTTACGCAAAGAGAACTAACGAGCACACCCCATATTTCTCACTTCCACATAGGTCTGTTTGGTAGAAATACGTCCAAGAGAGTCGCCATTGCAACTCTATTGGAGCATACTGATGTAGTCACTTTTTAAGGCTGATTTGTCTAGCTTTCCTAAGACTGATGATTCTATATGCACTGGATCCGAGTTCCAGGCTTTGCTCAGAAGTTACAGGTATAAAATTTATTTCATCAATACCTGGAGTCTCATATAGTTTTTATTTTGTTATGACTTTGGTCAATATAATTTGCCAAAATTTGCTAAAGTAATTAATAAATTATGCAAATCACGCAATTCTCCCATAAGCTGCCAGGTTACAAAATGCTGTTTAGCTCATGCTTGGTTCACATTTCCGGCCAACAAGAGGCTTGGAATGGCCCATTCATGGATTGACTTCATCGGCGCTCCACTACATTGCGACTCTATTGTACTCCATGGTTCCTCCCTTTGCCATTCAACGCCACAAATGGGAGCTTATTGCGGCAAGATTATGGGTACAAAAAGATGGCGGCTATCTCACAAATTCCAGATGTCAGATATCATAAACAACTCTCCTTACTTTTGGAATCCATACTCATGCATGTTCTCATGGTTGGTTGTTTTTGTCCGTACGGGTTTTTTCCAAGGTGCATGGCAGAACTTTCGACAAAGTTTTATGAAACTTAATGACAAATTAGATTTGACTATGTTAAAGCTTGTTTCCAAATAAAGTTTTTCAAAACCTTGTTGTAAATTCTATCACTTGGACAGGACCTAATGATGCCTGCAGCAGGATCAAGGAGAAAGTGAGGGAGGATTGGGTCAACGTAAAAAGAGAGGTAAAAGGGGAATGATTAAATGAACTATCTGCTGTGTAATTGATCATTTATTGAAGTGATAAGGAACACTATCAATAAATAATTTTTGGAAGTTGGCGGGTGAGGGAGCATTTTTATTTCTGTAGGAACCTAATAATTGGAATGGTTTTTTTGTTTCAGAATCGCACATTACGATGACAGCAATCCTTGGTGGAGGTCTGGCTGGACTGTCGTCTGCATTTTATTTGTTGAAAAACAAAGCTCATCCTGTAACTGTTTTTGAAGGCTCCAAAGTTGTTGGCGGCTGGATTCAATCTGAGAAACGTGAAAATGGAGTGATTTTTGAATTGGGTCCAAGAACAATCCGTCCTGCTGGACCAAAAGGTGCAACTACTCTAGCCCTTCTTGAGGAGCTCAATCTAGGGCCCAAAGTCAAGCCCATGCCTGTAACCCATCCTGCCGCCAAAAATCGTCTTATTTATGTGAATAACAAGTTGCATACACTGCCAGTGGGCATTTCAGGTTTGGTGAGAGCACATCCTCCCTTTAGCAAATCAGTGCTAAGATACCTTCTCCATGAGTGTAGAGCAAAGAAAGTTGAGAAGGAGGATGAGAGCCTGTATGATTTCGTGGAAAGGCGCTTTGGAGAAGAAATTGCCGAATATCTAGTTAGGCCTATGCTTTGTGGAATCTGTGCAGGTGATGCGAAAGAGATTAGCGTCAAGTTTCTAATGGCAGTTCCTTTCCAATTGGAGCAGGAGCATGGCTCTGTAATCAAAGGAATGATAAAAAATTGGCTAAAACGACGCGATAAGTCAAAAGTAGTCAGCATACCTCAAAGTAATTTATTTTTTCGATCGAAGGTGGAGCACTGGAGTGTGTACTCTTTAAATGGTGGATTGGGGGAATTACCTAAAGCATTGCATGAGGCTGTTTCTTTCAATCCCAATTGCGAGGTCAATTTGGATGCAAACTGCACTGATATTGAATTCCAAGGGAGTTCAGTCAACCTAACTATTAAAGATAAAAAGCATACTTTTGATCACTTAATCTGTGCAACTAGCTCTATCAATTTAGCACCATTACTGAAGAAGCAGCATCCAGTATTGGCTGATGAACTCTCAAAAATACCATTTGTAAATGTCATCGTCATAAATTTAGCTTTTAGTAAAAAACTTTTAAAACAAGAAGCTTTTGGATTCCTAGTGCCTCCGTCACAGAAACTCCCAATTTTAGGGGTTATCTATGACTCCTCTTGTCTTGATTTAAAAAACGAAACAGTTTTGACTGTGATGATGGGTGGTCGTTGGTTTGATCAGTATTTCAGCGAAAAACAAAGCGAATCAGAGCTATTGGACATTGCACTAAATCAACTTAAACATATACTAGGAATTAATGAAAAACCTGAAGCTTTTAAAGTTTCAATTCTCAGAAATTGCATCGCTCAGTATATTGTAGGTCATGCGGACAGAGTTGAAAGGATTGAGAAGTATATCAACGAGAAACGGCTTCCAATTACTCTTGTGGGTGCATCGTATTATGGAGTTGGAATCAATGATGTGGTTTCCTCAGCAATGACAGGTGTTGAAAAGCTGTCTAAAAAGATAAGTCTTGAAAAGAGCTCTGAACGGTCAAACACCTTCAGAACGACTTTTTAGATAATTCAATGCAGCGGAAGTAAAGCTATTTTTAAAGATGAATACTCAGTAAGGATTGCTTTCTTCAAGCAAATCGGAGAAATATTTTTTCACCACATAGGTTTGTCTGATTTCAACTAGAGCTGATGATGTCAGTATCATCCAGGTTGATATTTTATTTTTGTCATCATGAGAGGACCCTGCACATCAAATCAGGGGTTTGGTGTCGACTAAATTTGTTTATTATTTGATTTGTTGCTCCTATGCTGGAAGATGAGCATTAAGAATTGAGCCAATGAGAATAGCAGGGCTAAAAAGGGAATTATCTAGAATATTCACATGCATGATGTGTGCAGCCTTTTACTCCGAGGCAATTAACGCAAGCATTTGTCTTATTCCTTTGTTTGGCACGCAGCAAAAAAAGTGGAGCTCTCCTTGTTTACCTACATTTCTGATAGTTGATAAGTGTAAAAATGCTACAAATATTACCAATCAGCCTAGTTGTTCTCCAGTTTGGCCCTTAGAAAGCTCGATTTCTTAAGCTTACGATACTTCAGCGGACATAAATATCATCATCTAAAATTTCATTAAAAAGCCACGAGCCTCTTGGATTACATGCAGGATCCTTTGAAAGAAAATTTGGTCGTTGTTCAAATCATTCATCCCTGTAATTTTTCCAACCCTTCATACTTTTTACTTTCTGAAAAAAAAAGAAGAAAAAAATGACCGTTGTATATTACATTAAATATTCTTTGAAAAGTACATTTCAGATGGATGGCTCTTAATATCTCTGCTCACTTTACTTTTTAAAGTAAGACATCTGAAGTTTTGGCGTGGAATAATCGGTGAATATTCTCACTTAGAGTTCTAAAAAATAGTTTATAATGCCTGTTTCATGCTGAAAAAATTAAAGAGAGAAATATTGAACTTAGCACATCATGACAGAGCTAAATATTCATCAAATTCATCTTTTCGACCAACTCCAATTTATGCCGCCAAAAAGATGTCTAATCAAGAAATTCAAGACAGTATTTTGTCGTCATAATAATGAGTCAGTTGTTTCTTATATGCATGTACATCTCGTTAAGACGAAAAAATGTATATTTTGTGATAATTTGAATTGCAATAAATTTTATTACTGTTTTTAAATTGATACATACTGATATTCGTCCTTTCTTCAGGGGATATGAAGGTTCATATCATTCCTAAATTCCAGAAGTCTCTGTCTTCCCTTGTGAAGATACTTATCAGTGAGCTAGACTTTAAGATCAGCAAGGGAACATTTCAATTTTATTCTCTTGTCAGTATCAACTTGCACACATGTAGCTTATAATGCCTCATGAATTGGACTCATTCTCGCCTATTAATCTCACAATGATTAAAATTGTGTTATTAAGCGGCAAAATTGAAAAGTCGACCCTGAATAGTTCATACATATTTTAATTTGTAACAAGTTTTCGATTTACTTGGCTAAAAACATCCATTGAAAGGTCATGTCGATCAAACTTGCAATCAGTGTCAATGCAACAACAACAAAAGAAATAGACAAATTAACTTTTTTATTGTATTTTAAAAAACCATAATATTATAAAATGATTTCAAAGTGTTGAGATATAAATAACGGGAAGACCCTTACTAGCTAGACTCAATCTAAGTTCATCTGTCCCTCAAGAATCAAAGAGAGCAGTCTTTCATTATTAAAATTTTGGCTAAAATGATAACTAAGCTGCGTTGCTAAAGTCTCCGGAGTTACCCGAAGACGTAAACAACCGTTGTTCTGACTCTGGAGGAATTACCCGGAGACTTGCTACGTCATGCTACGTCAGTCTCCAAACTGCTCTCCAGCTGAGAGGTCGGAGAGCTGGAGACCAAAAGCTGGAGACTGATGTAAGAATATAGGCGTTCAGCATTCTCGCGCCTTTTTTTCTGCTTATGCAGTGAGTTTTAGAATTTTTAAATATTTAAAGATGAAAATGTTTGTAGATTTCATTTTTAACTTTGCGACGAGAATAACTACGGAGCTTCCACTAGAAGGGTTTGAACGAATGAATGCTCGTAAGTTATGATTTAATTCATTCCCTTAAATTATCGATAGCGAAAACGAAATGAATAAAGAAACTTAACTTAAAATTGAAGTGTAAACAAAACAGAATCCGGCGGACCCAACAACGCGGAGAGACTGAAGAGATGACGTCAACCCTCCGGGTAATTCTCCAAGACTCTCCGCTCCCAATCCTCCGGAGAGTTTAGCAACGCAGCTCTAGGCACTTTCGATGTGACCATTTAGCCAAAGCATTTATTGGGGAAGGAGTAATAAAAAACAATCTTGTACATTTTGGCACTTACAATCGATGTTAGAGATGGCAAGGAAAACAAAAATACTTTGTTTCAATTAATCCAAAACCTTAACAAAGGAAAATTGGGATAAAGACAATGATCAATGCATTAATCTCTCTAAAGTGTGATTGTATCAGCACCAAAAAAAAATACCGAGCTAAGTCCATGTAAATCATGATGTTTAAAGACGAACTCAGAAGGGTGGATTTGTAAAATTTAAGATACTACATACAGCACTTTTAATTAAGAGGTATTGCATGAACAATGAGCAAGTCAGGTTTATCAAAAATTATTTTCTGATCTTCAAAAACATTATGATGAGATGGACTGAAAGAATTTCAAGTTTTCATTTTCATAGCTAAGATTGAAGATTGTTCACACTAAGAATGCTAAATTAATAATTTCAGATATTGTAGAGTTACTAGATGCTGAAATTACAGAAAGGTATAAAAACCGCAAATCCTCCTGTTCAATGAAACATCACAGCCATTGTCCTTTCTAGGAGTTAATCATTTTAATATCACACGAAGCAGGACTATTGAAAATTCAATATAAGAAAATTGAGAAGTCGCACGGCCAAGAGCTCTGATGACAGTTTCAATGATGTTCACACAAGAAATCTGGGAGTTGAAAAACACATTCTAACGCAGACTATTTATGGTAGTAAGTAAAAAGAAGCCTGTGAGACTGACTACAAGTACATACTATTTTAATTAAGGCCACACTTTTTTTTTACGGTTATTAGCGGTGAAGTAAAGAGAAGTGAAGAACTTCTGCTTTGCACCACAACCTGAGATTGGCAGTGTGATAAAAAATACCAAGGAACAGATAAAATATCTCATTTTTCAAAGATGCAAATCTTCTGCTAACGCGTCATGTATGCAACAATTTTGCAAAGCCTTAATCAATATCGATATAAAATACCAATAAGTCTTAAAAAACTTAAACCTATTTTTAATAACAGTAAACAAATAGAGGAATATCACAAAAGATAAAAGCATCCAAAGGTGAATTAGAATGATAGGAATGGAAGAAAATATTCAGTTCAGTTTTGGCTTGGGCCTGAAACAAAAAAAGTCATGAAAATTAGTTAAAACTTTCAACTTTAGTTCACTATTAGTTTCAACTTTGAAGCGTCCGAGAACTTAAAAATTCTTCAGTTGTATTTCAGTTCTAAATCTTAAATTGTGTAAGCGTCAGTAAACTTCTAGCAATCTCTAAACGCTAAATTATTAACAAACCTATTTAACCTTCAGCTAGATTTAATCTCCAACTGTCAGCTTTAAACACAACTAACCAGAGATATAAAAAATAGTTCTACAAAAGGAAAATTGAAGGAAAATCCAAAAACCTAAGAATGAGTTGCAAAGAAACTTTTAGCGAGGGTATTGTCACCTAGGTGGATCATTTTTCTGGACCAAATTTACAGGATTAAAATTTGTTTATGTAATTGAAATGCCAGGCATTTTGAAAAAAAATCTCATACTTAAGCACAGTAGTTGCGGTAAGAAAGCATGAATCATCAGCTATTAATATTTTCCAACTTGAAACTAAGGTAAGGAGTGAAGTAAAATGTTCATTGCTAATCCCTTGATGATCGATTCTTCTCCATAAATAATGGCAGATCAGTTGATTGATCGCCAAGATTGTCACACCATTGAAAGAGAGGAATTTATAAGAGAATAGATTCTTATGTGAAAAACATTGAAGTACTTACTTAAAGAGAAAACTTTTTAGTGAACTTTGTTTCAAGTCGGTAGTTGGTGACTTTTTGCTGAGTCCAACTCTACGGCAAGCGGACGGAGTTAAAGATTTTCGAGTAGAAGTTGGGGTTGCTTGTTTTAAGGAGAATGTTCCTTTCTTTGACTTAACTTCCATGCTAGGGCTACAAAAGCCTTCATCAGACTCCTAAGAAGAGAAATTAGAAATTAGATGCAATTTAACAAGCTGCACTGAAACAGCTTTTAAAAAATTATCCAAGAACATATTTTAAACCCTATTATGACTACGATTATGTTTCATACTTTGAAGAGATGTTCACGGCAGTCACTGATATATGGGCTACATTTAAAGAAAAACTTCGTAACTACCATAAAAAAGCCTTTCAGTATATAAGAAGAGGAACGTAATAGGACCATAAGCACGCCGATTCGATTTTTCCATGCTTATAGAGATTAAAAAGATATTCTAGAGGCAAATCAAAGGTTTTAATGATTAATTTCAAATCCAAAGCCTTTTGAATGAAAACCTTTAAGTAAATTAATTATGAGATTTCGAAGAGTCTACCAACCAATTATCTTCTAAAACTGAAACAAGTACGCACCTCCACTTGAAGGTATAGCAAATTTTATCTTCTTTCTGACGGATTAGGGACCGAATTTGATTTATACAAATTCATGTTTGATATGGCCCACGTTTGGTAGAAGAAAACCAAACCACATCAGATATTGCTAAATTGAACTGGGCAATTTAATTTTTTCCGGGAGAATGTTTGTGCGGATTCCTTGGAAAATTTTAAGGGGTTTGCCTCATACTAGGCAGAAAATTCACTGAAATTTGCTCAAAAATCCACACAACCGGTTTCATGAAAAAATAAAATTGCCCACTTAAATTTGGTAAAAGATGATGTGACTTGGTTCTTTTCTGCTTAACGGGGTCCGTATGTCCAAGATACAAAGAATCCTGACAAATCAAAATAGTATAAACTGTATAAACTAATTGATGGAGTTAGAATGTCTCATTCCTCGTTTGTCATTACCTGTCGTACTACGTCTTGCTTCACGCACATCAGAGGATTCAAGCACTCTATGCAGCAGATATTAATGAAGGTAAGACAGGGAGAGGAGATTCAGCTAGGTGCCTTGCTCTGAGTGGAAAAAGGCATAAGTGCTCTTGATGTGATGATAGGTTGACTTTGTGAGCCAATGAATATCAATGATTGGACCACTACCAAGAGTACCTGTTGTGTAAATAATTCTGATTTGCCAGGGTTCTACCTTAGACAGGCTACAGTAGGGTGCACATCATGACTTGAGATTGATAATGAATTACCTGGGAGAGAGTTGGACGCAAAAAAGAGTGTTCCTTGATAGGGAATGTATCCACTTCTTCATTTTGACTCTTTTCCGAAAAACTGGTATCATTGCTATCTATTTTAACAGGAGTATCCTTACACACTTCTTCGGGCTGGGTTTTTGGCGGAGAAGTAGTTGAGCAGTTCTGAGCAGGACTTTTGAATTCTTGACTAGATGCTGGTGATTTTTGATAGCGAATTGTTGAAGATCTATATTTATCAAATTTTTTGGCCCAATTAAAGTTACCTGCGGATCCACCATTAGAATTTGTACTATTAAGTTGACTGGAGGTCGTAGATAGTTCTTCGAGAATGGTGGAAGATGAACTGAATGGCTTACTTTCGACGTCTTGTCTAGCAAGTTTTTTGTTTGATGAATTTTCATGCGAAACACCTATGGTTCCTCTATTACTAATATCAATTTCAGTGTTGAAGCTTTTGTTTTTTTCACATGAAGAATCTATTTTGGAACTATCAAGGATTTCTAAAGTTCTACTTTTGGACTCAGAGTTAGAGCTTCTATTTTTGGCACAAATCACATCACGTTTGGTTTCTTCTACCGCTTCCTGAGTCTTTTCGTCGATAGTATCTAATAGGCTTTCATTCTCATCTTTCTGCCCTCTACATTTCTTACTAAAAGGATTCATACTTGGCTTGGCAGATTTACTGGTAATGAGTTCAGGACTTGGAGGTGGCGAAAGATCAGATAATTTCATTTTTTCAGGGGAGGTTGGAGGAGAAGTATTTTTAATATCTACAAGAGGTTTGCGATGGTATGAACTCAAAAGCTCTGCTGCCTGACATGTCCTGTCTAATTCTGCGAGATCTTCTATTGGTTCATCCAAAAAGTCTTGTGATGACTCAATTTCTTGGGAATTTTGCTTGATTTCAGGTTCAGGTTCAGGTGAGTTGCAAAAGTAACTGTAAAAAAGAGAAGAGAACCATAAGATGAGGTCAGAAGTATTTCACGTAAAAATCAGCTATTCTTAAATCTGAAATTCTAATACAACAACGTCTCCTAACCTCAAGAAGAAAATACTCCTTTTGCATAAATCCCTTTAGTGAATTTACTTTGCCTTAAATAAAAATAAAAAATAACACAGCATCAAAAACAAAGATTAAAAAAAGAAAAATGCGGTACAGGTTGTAAAACTTTCACAAAATCAAACTCACCCTTGAGTGATGTTATTTTTCATGTTTTGATCAAACTTAAAGTTTTTAGGTTTTGAATAATACGAAAACAATGGTTTTTTCAAAAATACAAATTTGTTCTCTGCAAGGAGAGGAGTGCACAATGACGTTCACCGGATTTCTGACTGCTAAAATGTTACTTTCAGATAATGCAGATTGCATTGTTTATAACATTTTTATGAGCTCCTTCTCTGTTTCATTGTAAACATATTTCAAATCCCTTCTGATGGTGCATCGACTTTGCACAGCTTTTCACGATTCCAAATACTAAACCTCTCGAACCACAAAAACTGAAATTTCTATCCTTCCAAAATGATATTTATGATAAACTCACTCTGATTTTTATTGCATTAATCATATTCTTAGCTCTTCATTTTTGTAAACTTGCTTTTTTAGAAAAAAGAAATAGAAATTGTCGACTAGAATTATTATTAAACATGCATCTGAAAACACAGAGTGGAAGAGTGGCAGAGCGGTAATTTTCCTAACAAGTTTCCTTACTTTCAACCTAAATGAGTTTTTCTTTTTCCAAAAGACCGTATTTTTAAATGCAATTACTTACCCACTAACTAAAATGATGTTGTCATCAAGGACTGTCCGTTTGTGCTTGCTTGTTGATTTAGACTGTTTTACAGGGGAAACCTCGGATTTAGAAAAGGGAACGCGGACCGGAGTTTTGGGTTTAATTGGAGAGTCATCTTCTTCTATTGGCTCATCTAGACCATGATCTTCCATACGTAACCTTTTCGCTGGTTGTTCATAAGACCCGTACATTTCAATAAACTGTTTCTTTTCATCTTCAAAATCTGTAAATGTCAGTGTAAAAAATTATTAAAATGATGTATTAACATTTTGTTGTGTCTTATGAAGAATTTTCTACTTCCATTTTAAAAACAGAATCTTTCATTAACTGATTTTCTAAAAATTTTTTGGGTGGGCACTTCACACAACTCATTACATCATTTTGTGATAGAAAATTGTTGTAGCCTCTGAGAATGTTTCAGCACAATAAATGGAAAATCGTTTTTGCTTCATCGCGATCCCATTAGATTATACTTGTGCTGAAAATCTGCTGGACGTGCAATCTAAAAATGAAAGTATGTGCTCTGAAATTGGCTGCTTTAAAGAGTATTAGAAAACAAGAAATTTTCAGGGAGGATATGAAATTTCTGAATGATTGGGAAGATGCAGGCCATTGTCACACAACGCCGGAAGGGAAATGTACAATAATTTTTTCATCCGGTCTATTCCAATCGCTGCTACGGGATGAAAATGCTCTATGTGCATAGACTCATCCATATAGCTCCACGTAGTAATAAACCGTTGGTGAAACTGCAAATTTCAGATACTACATAAAAATTACCCTACATTTGTTACTCAAGTTATCCTGGTACCAGAAGTGGTCCCAGGAAGTGGGGGCGAGTGAGGGCACTGTCAGGAAAGTTCTCGGTAAGGAACCATACCATGCCACTTTTGATCAATTGCATTGCCATTCACTTTATTTTCAACTTATTCTCACCCGACAATTCAGCTTGCGCAGAATATTGAGTTATCACAGATCAGCCAGAATCAGCTGTTTTGGCCTTCGTTTGTATACAGATAGATATTACAGAAATAATGCAAATAAAAATATTTGAAGACTGTCTAGAACTAGACTGTCTAGACTAGAACGTTTTCCTTGAAACAAAGTTCATTTTTTCAAGTCTCTGTTGGCCATTTCTCATTTAGGTGTTGCTCAAAAACCATTTTTTTGGAAACAACTCCCCCCCCCCCNACCCCCCCCCCCCCCCCTCCAAAGACGTTCTAACGAGATACGACTGTAGTTCTGCACCAGAGCATTGAACATGCGAAAACTTTGGTGCAATGTTACTTTTTAACATTAGTACACATAATGCTTACCTTCGCTGACTCTCTTTTTCGTTGGAGTTTGTGCTTTTTGAACAACCTGCTTCCCAAGAGTGGAGGGAATGACAAAAGCAGACCCAGCTTTTTTCTTCTTTTCAATTTCTTCTCTTTTTTTCTTTAAGGCTTCGAGAAAGTCTGGCGACCAAATACTTTTATGGGGAGCTTTTCCATTCCAACTTTTGCTCCTTTTAAGCTGTTTCTAAACAAAAAAAAGATTTCATAAAGAAAGAGAAAAAAAGAGAAAAAAAAGGTTAAGTTTTGGTTTGTAACATGAAAAAGAAATACATACATTTTCACAAAAAATAATGAAATTTGTGGATTGTCATGTTAAAATTACTAATTTTCATACTTTGATCCTGAGAAAATTGGACTAAGTAAACTCATCTCAACCTTATGGAATTTTATACATCATAAAACTTTTATTAATTGGCGACTGCTTGCGAAACAATTTTAGATCCACTATTCTGATACTCAAAACTTTATGGTGATATTGAGGACTCTTTAGCAATAAAAAATAGGGGGTGAGCTGATAAAATTTTTAGATGCCAACTATTTTAAGCGGTCTTTATCACTTTTTTTTTTCCATGATTGTCAGGACAGACTACTGATAAATGATGACTAGAAGCTTGAATCGTCTTCAGTCCTTTCAAAAAATATTCCCAGCAGCTTGACTGTTGAAACTTTATCTGACTTTGTTGGCAAGATAAGAAATCTGACAAAGCAAGAGTCTGTGCAGTGTAATATATCAATTTTAGATGTATTGTCGTGCAGACATAAAATTGCAACTATCAGGCTGCAGAGGGACAGTTTAATTAAGTACTCAACGTACAATTCATTCAACGCACTGCCTTGGAGTGTGAAGCTACACTTTCGTAATGCTGATCTAACATCGTTTTTTAAGGGGTTGCGTGCTTTCTTAATCGAAAAAGCCTTCTATAATCTTGACGAACTTGTAGGCTAGTAAAATTTAAACCTTGTACCTTATGTATATCGCTGTAGAAAGTATCGACGTTGGTATCTTGGAGTGGATTTTATCATTGTTCATGGACTCTCTTTTAGTAAAATTATACCTTGTTTGTAAACTATTTATATGTTTAGCATATTACCTCCTGTTAAGTTGTAATGTTTCAATTATTTCATCTTTTTACCAATGTGAAATTTGTGAAAAATAATTTATTTTGGGAAAGTTTCTTACTTATTATTTTTCCCTGTGTCAAGCATACAAATAAAATTGTTCTTATTTGTAACTGTTCACCATGTACCAAATATGACGTGTGCCATAGCCTCAGCCAGAGGCTCAATTGTACAAATTATAAAATAAATAAATAAATAAATAAAAGTATAGATTTAAATTAGAACTCCAGAAAATGCACACATTTACTACACTAATCCTGATTTGAAAGAAGGGCATGGGGTAAAATCGGTTAGCAACATGCGAAAATTAAAATATGTGCACCTCTTTTGCATTAGGATGCCAGTCGTCCATTTTTTTCAATGAAAAAGGATTCAAATTTCCTAGGGCTAATTGTTCAGCTTGATCGTCAGGCCGTAAAACCCACAGGTCTGAGAGCGACACATCTTCTGGAGGATCAGTGAGAGGCACAATTTTGCGTTTGAAAGGATCAAAAACTGGTTGGTGTTTAAACACCAAGTCTGCTTCCACAAATTTATCCCGATACTCAGGCGTAACACTGAGCTGAGACATGTTTAAATGAGTCGGCAGTCTTGTCAAAGCCTATGAAGAAGAAAAATAAAAAAACACTTAATTGAGGGCAAAAAAGTAGTGACCTTCTACATTAAGAAATTTCTTTGTCTGTAGCCTACTTGTTTTAATTTTCAAGAGACCCTTCATTCATTTCATTTCGTACTCTTCGTTTCTTCGGAAAATTGTGAACAGTAGTTTTTAATGGTATTGTAGAAATACAAAGATTGCTGACATACGTAGTTGGGGACGACATTTAAATTAAATTGGGGGAGAAGGAGAGACAAATCTAAACGTTAGCCGAAATTTAAAAATTAAAAAAGAAGTTTAATTTAATTCCAGAAAGTGTATGAACGAGGGAAAACCATTCATTTTCCCATTTATCATTAGATCAAATTTTGGCTGAGAAAATGGCTTTCGAAGCCCCAGAAAATCCAACTTCATCTCGAACAGAAAATATTAAGTCAATAGATTTCATAGCGCCACATGAAAAATTGACTGGCATGTACCTTTGCACCTACTTTTGTTCATTTACTTTTTAGTCACGATTGTAATGTGAAAACATGTATCTCGACTTTGCTTGTGATATTATCACTGTGTGATACAAACATTTTTGCTATTCCAATGAAATGAAATCAATCTCCTGATGATAATCATACTGCAGGCATTTTACATCAGATTCATGGTGGTTGAAATCATGAGTTCTCACTCTGTATGATGTTTTAAGCTTTGGGCCAATGAAAATCGTTCTAATTGTTCCTAAAACTTTGAGTCTCTTTCTTCCCAGCAATTTTAAGCTTTGAAGTGTGTTTCTTTTTAAGATTTGCCCCAGAAACACCTACTTCCAGGGTAATTCCTGGATCATGCAAAGGCCATGTTGGCCTAAATAACCCTACAAAAATTTTACAGGGTAATTGCCATGTTGCCCTCCGTAAATGAAATCCATGTGCAAAGTTGAAAATAAATGCCACAAAGCAGCTGAAAAAAAGTAAACAATCAGGGCTGAATTAAGAGGAAGCGAGCAAAAATTTAGAGAATCTTAAAAATTGTTATTTTTTTCACGGTGGGTAATTATTATACCTTGTGTATGTCAGGTTCTATAGATCGTGTGATGAAGCGACAAGCTTTAGCCAATCCAATGCCAGGCAATGAGGGTAAATAATCACAGCCGGAAAGTATGCACATATGACGGAACTTTTCTAGAGAGAATGCACTTTCCCTTATTCCCATTGCAAGGTGAAGTTTTTTTTGATCCACCAACAAACCATTGCCATTTACGTCCATTTTAAACAAAACCTGCAAAAAAATACAATTTAATAGATGAATGAACCTAAGATCACTTAAAGCATGAGCTCAATACTTGTGAATGCATTTTGTACAACTCGGTACCTCTTTGAAAAATAGCTTTAAGATTTTCGTATTGGTCTTTTCAGGGGTGCAAAAAATGTCACATCTCTCAATCCATCTTAAATTAGAGGGGAAACTTGCACCAAGGGGCAATCATTAATATAAACTTCGAAGGATTCTGCCTTTTTCTATTTCACTCGAGGGGAAGTGTCCCCTCCCGGACTCTCTTCCCCACCCGGTGACTGACGCTGCGCTGTGCTGAACNAAAGAAATTTTCTAGACCTAAAAACTGGAAAAAAGCACATATGTTGACTTAAAAATGTGATATCGGGATTTCGACCTTTACAATCTTAAAGTATGCAATTTTACACGATTTTTTGTCCAAACCGGACCTCGATATCTTTCTTTGTTCAAGAGATATTGAGGTTCACAGGTTTTGACTTTCACCCCCCCCTAGCTCCCCCCAAAATTTTTTGGGAGTCTGAAAATTTGGGAAAAGAAGCGCTCAAGTATGAGTAATCAATAGACAAAGTCTGAAGAACTTCCAGAGGGGGGGCGAAAAAAGCCGTTTTTGCATCAAGCTCTTTAGAGAATCTTAAAAATTGTTATTTTTTTCAGGGTGGGTAATTATTATACCTTGTGTATGTCAGGTTCTATAGATCGTGTGATGAAACGACAAGCTTTAGCCAATCCAATGCCAGGCAATGAGGGTAAATAATCACAGCCGGAAAGTATGCACATATGACGGAACTTTTCTAGAGAGAATGCACTTTCCCTTATTCCCATTGCAAGGTGAAGTTTTTTTTGATCCACCAACAAACCATTGCCATTTACGTCCATTTTAAACAAAACCTGCAAAAAAATACAATTTAATAGATGAATGAACCTAAGATGACTTAAAGCATGAGCTCAATACTTGTGAATGCATTTTGTACAACTCGGTACCTCTTTGAAAAATAGCTTCAAGATTTTCGTATTGGTCTTTTCAGGGGTGCAAAAAATGTCACATCTCTTAATCCATCTTAAATTAGAGGGGAAACTTGCACCAAGGGGCAATATTTGATAAAGATGACTTGAATCTCCCTTCTGATTACCTTCAAAAATGACAAATTGGAATTTAATATGTATTGAAAATTTAAAATTTTACCACACCAAACAAAAAAAAATCGAATCACAAGAAATGGTTGGTATTTTAGATCTTTTTGCACCACTAAGTCTTCCCAATTTTTTGTTCTTAAATCCATGCAGATTAGCTTCATTGGTGCCAGTTACAGAGGCAACACAAGGACTGTAAAATAGTTGGACATTCTTTCATACCTGAATGACATTTCTTTTTTCCGAACAGTTGTGTGGAAATGTGGAAGTTTAAAGATTAGAAAAATTTAAAGAATATTACAAATTTGGATTAAAACTCGAATATTTGAACATTTTCTCGTCAACTTAGTTAGTTGGTTGCATCGCAGAGACGTTTATTTGAAACATTGCTCATGTGCAAAGGGTACCAATATCTTCGACCAAATTTTGGAGTGTTTCTTGCAAATCAAAAAGGGAGACATAGAGAGGATTTTTTGATACTTGAGAGAGGAATTGCACTAACTTTTTTACAGCCAAAAAGCAAAAGATCTGAGTCTTCTGTTATCACAATGTCTGCAATATCGTTCAGACTAAAGTATGCAAGTTGAGCATCTGCTTCAAAAGGTGCCACAATGCAATCGACGTTTCGCGAGCGACACTCTTGAATGAGATTTAAAGCCATTTCATGGGTAACATCCACACATCGCCGCAAGAATGTTTTAGCTTCATTTGGTCGGTCCAAGCGTAAGAGTTCAGCAGCTTTCCTCCGGTTCACTTCTCGAGACCTAGAGGAGAAAAATTATAAAATCACTGTTAGATGGACCTGATTCTTCAAAAACAATTTAAAATTTGAAATAGATTCAAATGCAAAATGACATAGGATATCATGGAACAAGTCTAGATACTATTTAAAACAAAAAAAAACTATTGAAAGGTATTTCGCGTTTCATTGCGTAAAATAAAAACAAAACAAATTATGTAAGTATTTGAATAATTATTCTGAGGTGAAAAGGAAATGCTAATTGTAACTTTAACTGCATACTGTAAAAGCTTAGATGTGAGGTCGTAAGGAACATTGCATAAATAATATAAAAATTTAGCAGGTTCCTTTCTCAGTATTCTCTGCATAGTCCTTCCATTAAAAAAAGTTGGACAGTATTTTCTAAGGAAGCTATTTGAAAATAAATTGAAACTTAGAAACACTGTGACATGTGTTTTTACTATTCAACCAATGCTTTGTGACTTCACTGGCACTAACTTACCATATAATACATGTATCAGGAATTTTGTTTAGCATATTTCTGAGGCTCAGGGGGGCTAGAATTTATAAAGTTTCCACAGTTTTGTGCACCCGCTTGCAAGCTTTCCATATTTTACTCATAGGCTGTCTACAAGATTTCCCTCCAATTTTAAAAAAAAGAGGATCTTTGTCTTCTTGCTTCCTTTGATTTTAGACTTTTAACCCTTCAACATTATCCCTCCTTCCCATATTTATAAGAGCCTTTCAACATTTTTTGGTCGATGTAGATGAGTGCGTAGTCGAGCATTTTTTGCACCCCTGCTAAAGCTATGGTTAAGACAATTCAGGAAGAGAAATAACTTACTCTCTCCGTTTCTTTTCAGTGTCAGCTTTGGCATTTAGATGACCTCCATCAAAAACAAGAATTGGCTTAATGTTATGATGCAGTAGCATATTCACATACTTCATACAGTAATACACATACCTGAAAAAAGGGAACGGAAAATATTGGGTGCAATTCATGAAAATGGGCTGTGTGCAACAATCTGAAATTATCAGAAATATACTTCCAAGAGAAAGGAAGTCAAAAATTAGAATAAATATAATGATAACATGGTTTACACAGCCTCAAAAATAAAAAAATCAGGCACTTTTAAAGCACTCAGCGATGTACTGCTCCTTGTTAACTTCCGAGACAAAGAAAGACACAACCCAGCAAGCCTGCTAAGGATTAGTTAGGCTTGAAGATTCGTATCATTTCAAAAGTTCAGTAGCTCAGCTTTTGAACAGCATAGATTAAGCCAAACACCACAAAAGGGTAGACAAATGGATGGTAACACAAGGAAACATCTTGGTCGGCGAGTTGATGTGTGGAGGGTGACTTTGGACCAGCTTGTCTCTTTCAATCGTCATATAAGCAACTGGATCAGGCTTCTAGAAGCACTGATGAGCCGGTATTTCCGATTGTTCTATTTTTCTCGAGCCTGTTCAGAGTCAACAAAGAATCAGGAGTTGAGAGGTATAGAGGGCACAAAATGAATGCTTATCCTGTAAGTTGCTTAATCTGCAAATGACTTTGGTCTTGATGAGAGTATAAAATTTCCAGTGCCATACTTACTGATCAGTATGATCTCCTCTGGCAAGTTTTTCAGCACAGGCAAATGCTCCTTTATGCAGCCAACAGTAAGCATCCACTGCGACAGTACAACCAGAAAACTGAGAAATATTGACAGGTTGAGAGGCTTTCTCGAGGAACGGTATCAATCCTGTAATGCCCATGATAATGCAACTGATTTGGTGAGACGGTCCTTTCGAAAGATCTTCAAGTCATGAAGCAGTGTTTTCAGACGAAAGTTGAATCGGTTTCAGTTCTTTTGCATGAAAACTCCAGGGATTGATTTAGAATCATTGAAAATTGTAATGAGCACAACACATAATTAAACTTGAGAGATGTTGACCAAAATTACTACGCTAATGACACCAAAACATGGTCAGAAAACTGCTGAAAATACCTGTAGAACTAGAACTAGAACATGTACATCGCCATCGCTACATTGCTCAAAACTTACACTTACATAAACAAATGGCAAAAGAGGTTAGATGATTGTATTTTGGCGCGAAAGTTTGAGCTTTTGGATTGTCAGTTCACACAGAGGAACAGAAGAACAGGAACAGGAACGCAAATTTTATGGAACCGAAAGCGAACCATAAGTGGGTCAATGAATTTTATCCAATCAGATTCCTAATCTAAACAAGTTTTGTTGTAGCCTATCCTCTCATTGGTCAAAAACATATTCTACAAAAAAACTGGTTGTTTTTTTTCCTTCTTGGATAGACATAAAACATTGGACTTAGCAACACTAGAATCAACCAGTGCCGATTATTGACTTTTCTGAAATCGCTGGATAGATTAATCGCGCATGCGCAGAACACTCAGCGTTCTCCCTGCCGATTGGCTGAGAGTGTCAACACTATTATCAGTTCAATTTCTGCACCTGTTTTTTTCGTAAATTATTAAAATTTTGTTGTCGCGAAGGTGGTGTGAATTTCTATTGTCAAGCCGTATTATTTTTTCTTAATCCTAGTTCCAATGGTTCTCCAAGTGCACAATTAATGCAAATCTTCAAAGTATGGGTGAAATAAAAAAGCCAGCCAATGAAAAAACCTACATATTAGAGCAACAGGTAAGATCACATTTTCCTACGTACTCTTATGTAATCAACGTCAGTCGGCCAAATCTCACGTTATGTTTATGCATTTTAACATCTCGAATTTGCTGCAAGCCTTTGCACTATCATCTTCCTCTAAATCTACAGCTGACTTTTTTCTCCAATTTCACTTAACCTCTTACCTAAGAAATATTGGCGGAGCTCCTACCCAACGGGAATTTTGTTTCAAATTCTCCTACGGTACCCATCGGTCATCGTTCTGATATGCTTTTTGCTTCGATTTTTATGCACATACATGTTGTCACGAGTATCCATGAGTGAGATTTCATCAAATCTCAGATTCTTAGTCATGAACCGCAGTGGTCGTAAGTTCCTCTTCTAGGAAATCTAAGTTCACAGTTGTCATTTGTAGCCTCCTATCCATGCCTTATATCATCAGACATTGCTTTTAACAAAGTCTACCACAAAAGGGTTAAGATAGGTAATTTCACATGCATAATTGTATAGCATTCTATTGGAAAAAATCAGACGCTCCAATGGAAATTAAACAAACAGTAACTATTTTGATAGTCTGCAAGATAGGTACAAATTCTTGGTACCTTAGCACAAAATGCCCTCTTGTTGCGCTGAGCATTATGTAGATCAGAAATGATGCTAATGGAAGATAATTTCTTCATATCCTTCTTTCATTGTAAACTTTCTTAGTTAATTGAAACTAGAAATTATGTGCACTTAACCTCACCAATTCTACACAGCTCTGTTCTCTAATGAAACACGCATAAACTGCCTTTATCTTGTCCCAGTAATAGTGACCTGCAAGTCATTCATTGTATCTCAATGATTTAGTAGCTGTTGCAAGAATGAGTGGATTTATTCCAACTTTTAAAAATGTGTGTTATGTCATCAATTGTTGTTAATATTACGTAGGTACCTGTTTGTCAAAATACATTTCAACAGATGAGTACTATCAGTTGCCTACAGTGGTAGTTTCAAATACTGCTTTGAGGTACTTCAACTACTATTTTGTTCATAATTAATTGATGGCAAGTTTCCTTTGGTACTTAACTTGAAATTTTTGGGATTACTCAAAAAAATTGGATTCAAGGAGATCTTTTACGATCCCTCTGAAGTCCTCAAGTGCATTCATAAATATCATGAGTCTGATGTTTAAATTTCTCTTCGAATGTTGTTTTCCCTTCGGACTGATTTTGCATTTGCAAGTAGGTACAATTTAGAAAAATTAGGCACTGCATCTCATTTTTTGAGAGGAAATCTTTGAACGCTCTCAAAACGCAAAAATACATTTTCTTCGCTTGACTTTTTTGGGGAAAATAATGGCAGGAGAAAAATTCAAAACTTTAAAAATATTTGATTGCCCACTAAGCAAGTACCTACTGTATGCATTTATTTAGCATTTACAAAATGTCGCTTTCCAGACTGGGTCTCTGAAGGTATGTTCTTGCTCATCTATGAAAGAGTGAGTATATTTTTCAAAAATAAGCAGAATCTCTTATTTAAGTAGGTACCTCACATTCTTTAGTGATTTTCTAAGTTTTATATTTCATCTATCCTCAAAATTATTTTCACTCCGTCTGTCAAGCACATCAGGGCGTGACTTTTCCATATCATTCTTGGTTCGATCAATAGATTTTTGGACATTTTTAGAGGTCTTGTTCCCCCCACCCCCCGGGATCATTTTAAGTAGTGATGGCCCTGTTATTAAACAGTGCATAAACATCAACTGCCTTTCTAAATCATAGTGTCTAGAACGGGAAAAACCGGGATTAATCAGGGAAAAAATCAGGGAATTTGTTCCAGAAACCGGGAATCTCTTCTTCTACCGCCTAGGGATCATTTCGTTTTCAAATTTGGCGGTCAAATCTGACCGACCGCTTTTCGGCTTCGTCCGGCGCGGTCGAAACGGCTGAGATGAATTAAAATCGATATTCATTACTGGAACTCTGGAGAGTTTATATTCTTTCTCCTCAGTAAATCTCAGGGAAGTGGGAGAAGACTTCGGTTTTTCATCAGGGAACGAGCCTCTGAAAATCAGAGAATGCGCCGGGTCAAGAATTCTAGACACCATGTCCAAAATTGATTAATAACTCTATTCCCCCCCTACCGATACTCATCTCAGAAATTTCAGTCTCGGAGCGAAGAATATTCTCCAGTTAAATAACCAGATTCCATCCCCGGCAAGTCTCTTACCGCCTCCCCCCCCCCCCCCCCCCCCCCCCTTCTCACGATCCTTGCCGGTCCTGCTTCACCATGTCGGATAGCCTCGAGAAAAGAGGAGTTCCTCTCCGTTACGTAACGGAACAGGAAAACGGGAAAATTGCCAAGAGCTGATTTATGCAGGGTCTAACAAATTCCTGCGACCCCGAAAATTTGCCCCAGCTCCACACCCCCCCTTGGTGGGAGTATTGACGTCGAAACTTCCTCGAGACCACGAACCCGAAGTCGTAAATGTAGATGCGAAAAGTATCCTCCTCGCAATCAATGAAAACTCACCCGCTCCATTTTATAATGGTTTCAGCTCTGCCGTGCTGAGTAAAAATGCCGTAATAGCCCTCGAATGTTGCCAAATTTCCACCCAGAAAATATTCATTTTCGAGGAACGTTATGAATATTTTCCCTCGCAATTTTCAGATTCTTTAGATCGAATCACGAACGAAATCTTCAGAAAATCGGGAGAGAAATATCCAAAAAAATGTCCTGAAAATGTTTGGTTTGTCGAAGAAAATTTGGCAACGCCTGACGGCTCATACGGCGCTTTTTTAGCATGGCAGAGCCCAGCTCCTTCGCGCCCTTACGTAACCAATAAAACCCAGCGAAGCAAGTTGCGAATAGTTCACTGCGAGGCTGCGTGCGCCCTTGTGAGCGACGCTATACCGGCCGGCGTTGACATCCTGCAGGGAAAATATGTCCGCTAAACCCGTAGGTAATGTCGCTATGGATGAGGTGTCGTACGTGAAGCTACAACGGCTTTTATATGCATAGTTCGGAATCAGTGCTCCTTGCCGGAGTGGTGGAGTGGTCGCGTGCCTGCACGCCCACTTTAGTTGAGTAGCCTGACTGCTGTAAAAAGCTTCAATCTGCTTCAATCGAGCTTTAGTTTCCAATCTGTTGATGAGCTGGAAGTCGATTCCTCGGAAAAATATACCCATGCGTTGGGCACACCACGGTTGAATAATATGACTACGATTTCCAGCGCTCCTATTCCATGTCTGTCAAAAGTTCCGGGATTCGGAACTTTTTTGTTCCAATTTCTCCCACACTGAAAAAAAAATCTCGATGTATTTGCTAAGAAAAGGGTGAAATCACCAAGAATTCAGGGTTCTATTTGATCCCAGTTTTTTCTTGGTTAAATTACCATTTATGGAATTGGTAGTTTTACCGAGAAATCTTGGTAAAATTATTGAACTTTCTCGGTAATTTTACTGGACCTTAGTAAAAACGCCAATATTTTTTATCGACTGTGGTGGAATTACCGAGATAAAATGGCAAAGTTACCGGGAATTGATTACCAACAAAAGTGGTATTCTTACCTAAAAGAAACAGTAAAAATACCGGTTTTTAGGTAAGCTTACCAGTCTGTCTTGGTAAAATTACCAATAATTGGTAAAAAAAAAGTGAGATGGTAAAGGTACCAACGGACCGTGGTAAAAACGGCGAGAATTTTTTTCAGTGCACCCCATGACCGTCAAAAGTTCCGGGATTCCTTGCAGATGTTTCCAAAAGTACTGAGAAAGTCCCGAAAAATGCAAAAAATTACGGAACATTTCGGGAATTTCAAAGGTTCCGGGAAAAATTCAGAAAGATCTCAAAAGTTCCGGAATTTGAAACTACTTCCGGGAAATGGGAGCACTGACAATTTGTCGTTCTTCTCGTGAAAGAACGTAACCACATTTCAGTGTTGTCAAATTTCCCCTCACAAATTCAATTTTTATCAGGAGAATCGTGGATGTTTCTAATGGAAAATTTCACTGATATTTTTCTGATCCCAGCAAAATCAGAATTTTAGACAAAATGTCACAGGTATATTCTTGTAATAAACCAAATTGTTTGAGTTCATTTTGCAACCTTGGAATGAAGTTACGTTTCTATGATCGGGAAACAACGAATTAGACTACAGTTTGCAGTAAGGAACTGTTATTTCTGGCTCATATATGTATTTATTTGCATAGGGGTTCTGACAGCTTATACTAATGCTTACGTTGTCTCTTACATTAGACAGATTTGGCAATTAATACTTAATTGGTGCATTTTAATGGCTGAAGTCGAAAAATTTTTCTTCGATTACGACGTTATCTCCGCCCGTGTAATTTTGTTTGTTCACGGAAAAAAATTAAATTGCTTATTCAACAATTCAATTGCTTAAAGCAGTGAGTGCATTGTTTTAATGTAGATTTTACAACAAAAAATGCTACTTTAACCACCCCCGTGGTTACATTAGTTTACAATGTGGTTAAAGTAGCATTTTTTTGTTGTAAAATCTGCGTTGAAACATTGCACTCACTGTTTTTAGCAATTGAATTGTTGAATCAGCAATTTTTTTTCCGTGTTCTAAAAGAAAACGTAGGATGACAAGTTTTTGAAAAATCAGAGAATTTGGTAATTCAATAAAATTTGTCAGTCTGAACCCGTCTCTCTTCAAATTTTTTGTGAGTTTTCTTCATTTGTGCAAAAATACGCACAGGAAATTTTATAGAGATATTTTTTTCAATTTTTTAAAGATAAAACATAACCGGAATTTTTGAAATCAAGGTCAATATTTTTCGACTTTGTCATCGATTATCCAGCAAGAGTCTCGGAACTAGCCCTCGTGAAACTAAAGCAACAACATTAAACAATGAGAAAAGATAATAAGGAAACAAACAGTTAATCATAATTTTTGAGTGCAGCAGTGTCTTGATTGCATATCTAATCTAAGGCCATTCGGGCAGAGGAACGGAGGGCGCCGTGATCAATCCGATTTTTTTCCATGACAAAGCTCGAAAATCGTCCGGAGGTCC